CGCGATCCTCGGCATCATCGCCGTCATCATCTCCAGCACGACCACCATCAGCGCCATCGCCAACATGGCGCACAGGTTTGCTCGCTTTGCATCAGTGTGAATGAACGCTGTGCCGTCATCATCACCGACATCACCAACATGATCCCTATCATCATCATCATCATGATCATCATCGTCGTCGTCGTCGTCGTCGTCCATGACGTGCGAATCAGTCACCTTGAGCACGGTGCGCCCGCCACTGCGACCAGTGCTGCCGCTACTCGTGGTGCTGATGGCCAAATCATCCACAGCCCGAGCTGCCGTCACCATTGGCGCCACATCTGTCGCGAAGGCGGTGGACGTTGCTTCCGGTGCGCTGGACGTTCGCGCCACGGGTCCGTCTTGCCAATCGCCACGTGTGATGTGCACGCACTTGTGCTCGCCATGCGAGGCGTTTTGCTGCAGGTATGCGTCGATGCGGCTGTTGATCATCGCCTCAATCCCAAAGTCAATTGCCCGATAGTGCGCGACATACACCTGCACGTGTGTGTGTGCGTTTGAACAACGGGATGTGTTACAAGTGAGGATGAGCGCCTTCCTGCGGTTGTTAAAGAGAGAGGCACAGATATAGACAAACAGACACACAGATAGAGGGAGAGTACACACACACACACATGCACACGCGCGCACAAAACACAACACACACACGCACACACACACACACACACACGCACACGCGCGCACATAACACAACACAACACAGCACACACACACGTACAGCATACGTGCGCCCCTTCACTGCCACCACAAACATCATCTTGCGCGTGCTGACCTTGAGGGGAAACGCAGCAAACGTTGCACAGGCGCGCGCAATGGCATCGACAATCCACTCAATGTCGTTGCCAAACGCACCGCCGCCAACAAATGTCAACACCACCTGCACACATGAGGTGAAACACGTGTCATGAGTGCACAAGTCAGAGAAGAAGGCTGCGCATGCCTAATGACGTGCATTCGTCACTTCAGCGGGCACTCACACACACACACACACACGCACACGCTCACATGTTTAAAAGTGTGTCAACATGCAATCAAGGGCTTACACGTACTCGTACACACACACGTACATGCACACGCATGAGTGCACGCACAAGTACATGCACATGCACACGCACACGCACGCGCACACGCATGCATTTTCAAACACAAAGACAACAAGACAACCCACGTTTGCGGCGCCGTGCTCCCAGTTGTTGCGCTGTGCGGCGAGAATTGCCTGTGCAATTGTCGCTTCGTAGCATGCTCGTAGCACCAGCGGGGCAATGCATGACGCATCGTGAACCACATCGGGGTGGAGCCTGGCGACATGTGTGGTGGTGGGTGGTGTTGGGGGTGGAGGAACGGTGTTGGTGAGGACTATTGGCATTCGGACGAGTACTGTCAGCCGCTCCCTCAAATACAACCAGACACAACGCGTTGCAGCTTGATACAAACACAAACTAACGTGCGCGCGCGCACACACCACACACAAGCACATTCACACAAACCCATAAGCACACACAAACACACACACACACAAACACATAAGCACACACATACGCACGCACACGCACACAAACACATAAGCACAAGCACATGCACACACGGAAGCACAGGAGCGACGTACGACATGGCTGAGCAGAAGACTTGGTTGACGAGCTGTTTTGAAGTTCGCGGCAGGAGGTGGAACGTGTCTCCATTGCGAGATCGAAACACAACCTGGCAATGTGGGGTAGTGAACGATGAACCAACAGCAAGGAGACAAGGCGTGCACATTCTTTGTAGCTCCTGCCAAAACACCCCACTCTTAACCTTGATTTCAACACACACACACACATACATACACATGCACACACATACACACGCGCAGAAGCACACACACTTGCAGAAGCGTACACACACATACAGAGAGAGAAAGAAAGCGCAGCAACAACGACAGCAACACACGCGTTTCGACGGCACCTGTGTTCCGAGTTGCACGCCGACGCGCAAATGCTCAACAATTTGTTCTCGCCGTTGGGGTTCCTCTTCAAGTATTTGCGCAAGCCTGAACGCAAACGTGATGTCACCGTTAGTGAATGGGTGATGAAACGACACATGAAAGTGGACGAGGAGGAGTGATGGCTTCAAGGAAGGCCGCGGGGCTCTTGTCACAAACATATCACACACACACACATGCACACACACACACATGCACACACACACACATTCGGACATTGAGCAGGCCACGTGCGCAACGGACTTTGGCAGGCGTTTCCTCTTCATGATGGTGTATCCATTTGAGACGCGCCAGAACCAGGTCTTGGGATCAGATGTGTGCAGCAGCCGCTCCACCTGCACACACACACACACACACGCACACACACAGCCAGCACACAGCACACACACAGCACACACACACACGCACACGCGAACAACCACATATGTGTGAGGATGAAACGTCACCATATGTAAGTTGCCACCACCCCTCTATTTTCAATGACAATGAGGCAAGTGTGTGGTTGACGCACCCCCGCGAGGTTGTTGATCTGGCGTCGCTGCCTCTGGCCAACGTTTGGACTTGCAGGATCCACCTGCACAAAGTAGTTGCTGCATCGAGCATCGCCATCACACATTGAGCACAACAGTTCGCAATGTTGACACATGACAGAGGTTGGGCGTTGGTGTAGAGGGTGGTACTGTTGGTGTTGCGGCTGCTGATATGTGTGTATTGCGGCTGCTGATATGTGTGTATTGCGGCTGCTGATATGTGTGTATTGCGGCTGCTGATATGTGTGTATTGCGGCTGCTGATATGTGTGTATTGCGGCTGGTACATCGATTGTTTCTGCCGCTGTTGATGCCTTTCGATCTTTGTTTTTGTTGGTGTTCGTCTCCGACGTTGTTGCTGCAGCCACCACCCACCAAAACCTATATCCACGCGCCATCTCCTGCTCCCGACCCCCGCCCCATCGTTTGCCTCCTTCTTACCGAAACAAGGTGCCCGGAGCGGCAGCGAGCGAACACGCTGGGCCCTGTGTCGGGTCGTCAATGTAGTACTTGATGCCCTCCTCTGGGATGACATCGTAGCTGGGGAACTCCAGGCAGTTGAACTGCGACGCGACCTGGAATGTCGCCAGGTGGAAGTTGGGGTGCGCGTGCATGAGCAGCACGTCCGACACTGCCGTGTGGATCACTTCCATTGACCCCGCAGGTACCGCATCTTGGTCGATCTTCTGAACTGCGTGTTTGAAGCAAACCAGTGTGTGTGTGTGTGTGTGTGTGTGTGTGTGTGTGTGTGTGTGTGTGTGTGTGTGTGTGTGTGTGTGTGTGTGTGACAACTGCAACTTGCTTCGGTCAATGTCTGCTCTCCCCGTTCACCTTTCCCTGTGCTGCGCCCTCACCAACGTGCTTGTTCCTCACAATCCCCTTCTCGTTTAACGCGAACGTGTGCAGTTCAAAATTGAGCTGGCCGCATACGATCACGACTTCTCCAGCCAAGATGACAAGGTTGGTGACTGTGCTTCACTGCATTTGTGTGAGTATGTCTGTGAGTGTGTGTGTGTGTGTAGGCGTGTGCATGTATCTCTGTATCTGTACGCACGAGCCATGCATGTGTGCGTGTGTATCGCTTGTTCGGGTTGCTTTTGCGCCAACCACTTCACCTGGAAGCCATCGTATTTCTGAACACATCCGCTATTGTCAAATGTACGTACGTGCAACCCCCCCCCCTCAGTATCGCTCTTACTCACACCAACCTGGCGCCGGTTTCAATTCTCGCCGGGCATGCAGCTTGGGTCAAAGACCTTGTCATTCACGTGCAGCGACTGCAGCACGTGCACCTTTAACAAGCGCTTCACTGGCTACGGATACAAGGATGGTTATGTCGACACCACCGTCACATACCACCCAAGTACGTGCCAGCAAAGTCACACTCATGCCGCTAGGCTGCTGTTTATTGGGCTTTCTGGCCTCACACACAAATGCAGAAACGCACATGCACCTGCGCTCATTCGCGCCTGTGTGTGTGCACTTTTGATCACACACTCTCACAGTTTTTGTTCTCTTCAATAACCTCGTCAATGCCACTCGCCACTCATGTATCGACCCACATCACACGCACACACACACGCACACGCACACGCACATGCATGCACGCGCACACACGCACGCACGTACACATACTCACATACGCACACAAACATGCATACATACACACACATACTCACGCACACACGCACACGCCAACACACACACACCTGTTCCCTCCACTGCCACCGCAGCGGACTTGTGTGCCACCAAGAACAGGGGCGGCTGCGGCACAAGCAACATCGACACGTGCACGTGTGTCGCTGACAGCCAAGTGTTGTGCGGTTGCGCAGCCGATTATGAACTGAAGGACGGCATCTGCTCCCCAATCAACAACTGCGAAGCGCCAGGCTACGGTCATTGCCATCCGAGCTCCGAAGAGTGAGTTGTTATGATGATGTTGAAGGCATGGATCATGCCCGTGGGGTGGTGGCACTGATGCTGCCGACGTTGCAGGAAGCATGGCTGCTGTTGTGCGTGGTTCTGTGTAGGTCTGTGTACGTGTGTACATGTGTGTGCTTGTGTATGCATGCATGTTTATGTGTGCATGTGTGTATTTGCACGCTCCGTTGTGATCGTCAAAGTCAGGGCTGCCGCCTGCAACGCTTGCAACGTGACAACACAAAACATTTACCAACACCCGTATGCATGCATGTTTATGTGTGCATGTGTGTATTTGCACGCTCCGTTGTGATCGTCAAAGTCAGGGCTGCCGCCTGCAACGCTTGCAACGTGACAACACAAAACATTTACCAACACCCCAACGTACATGTGATGCGTGCTGTGCTTGCCACAGGTGCGTGTACACGGGCCCAGGCACCAACACGTGCAAGTGCAAGGACGGGTATGAGCCGATATTCTCGGCATCGCCAACACCGTGTCGGGAGATTGACCTGTGCACCGCAAGTGACGTCTCGCCGTGTGGCGACAACTCCGTCTGCACAAAGACCGGCCCAGGAACATACACCTGCGCGTGTGCAACTGGATATTCCTCAGCGAACGCCAGTGCCGACTGCGTTCCCATTGATCCCTGCACGAACGAGGATGGCACGCCCTCCAACGTGTGCGGGCATCGCGCCACCTGCACTTATACAGGTGCCACCTCACATTGAATGATTGTGGTGACGCTGCGAACTTGTGTGTGTGTGTGTGTGAATGTGAATGTGTGTGTGTGTGCGTGGTAAGATAGGAGAAGACTGTTGTCGTTCCCTGTGAGTGCCTCATCTTCACTCTGTCCAATGCAGGTCCAGGCATGCACACATGCACGTGCGACGACAACTTTGAGCTCACGGCGCCGGCGGTGAGTACATTCGCGTGCTTACATCGCGAGAGAGTCGGGAAGAGATGGAGGCATATGACATGACGGCATACCACACAGTCTGCATGAGTGCACGTGATTCTCTCGTCAGTCAAGATCCCCACATCACACCGCGCGTTGCAAAGACTGCTCTTGTGTGTATGCGTGAAAGCAAACACGAGTCTTACCACACTCAAGTCTGACACAACATCACTGTCTTATTAACGGCATGTCTGTACTCGTGACCATGCACGCATGAAGACGTGCACGCCAATCAACCCGTGCAAGACGAACAACGGCGGCTGCATCTCTGCCACGTGTGTGTTCACGGGACCGGGGCAGCGCACATGCGAATGTCTGCCAGGATACGAGAAGCTCTCTCCAAACAGCATCGAATGCATTGTCAGTATCTGATACCAACTTGGGTGTGACGACGTGCCTTGGCTCGTGCATTCGTATGTGGCGTGTGTGCGTGTGTGTGTGCATTCGTGTGTGGCGTGTGTGTGTGTGTGTACGCATGCATGTACGTGCGTGCGTGAGGTAAGTGCCTCTCCCTCTCTAACTACTCCCCCATGTGACACTCTCACAACTCCCCGCTTCTCACCTTCCACCCTCACCTTCCACATGCACCAGGAGAAGGACGTGTGCAAGGAGAACAACGGCGGCTGTGGACCTCCAACAACCACGCGGTGCGTACTTACTTGTGTGGGCACAGGCGCTTGCATGCGTGTCGACGGTTTGCCTTGGTCGAGTCGCCAGGTTAACGCTTTTGCGAGCCTACTCATTCGCAACAACAACCTTGAACAACATCAACAATGTGGGCCTTTCCCGTCATGCTAGGTGTGCTGTGAGCAACGGCACGCGCACATGCTCGTGCTTCGAGGGATACACATCCCCAACTGGCGAAAACTGTGTCGAGATCAACCCTTGCATCGTTGAAAATGGTGGCTGTGGCTCGGAGGACGCAGTCAGGTACGGCGAAATGTGTGTGGGTGTGGGTGTGTGTGCGTATATGTGTGTGGGTGTGGGTGGGGGGGGGTGTGTGTGGTCTCTCTGTGTGTGGGTGTGTGTGGGTGTGGGTGTGGGTGTGGGTGTGGGTGTGGGTGTATCTATGTGCAATGCAAGTGTACTGTACATGAGCCCATGCTTGTGAGTTTGTTGTTCAAATTCCTACATAACTTCATACTGTTTGACGCTGCTCTTCCTGTGTTTGCCCATGTTTTCCTTGTGCGTCAGGTGTGTTCACGTTGGGCCCAACATGGCCGAGTGTGAGTGCAAGCCAGGCTTCACCGGCAACCCGCCATACACCCCGTGCAAAGTACGCCACATACTGTGTGGATGTGTACATGTGGGTGTGCACGCGTGTTTGTTTCTGTGTGATTATTGACTCTCCCTGTCCTTGCCACCACGGCATCTGGCCATAATACCTTAGCGCCTTGAACCAACACACCTTGAACCAACACACCTTCACGCGCACGCACACACACACGCACACACACACGCACGCACAACCAAACAAACAAACAAACAAACAAACACGACGTGCCATTGCTCGCGTCCAACTTTTTCTTCAGACGACTGCCACGTGTGCAGTTGGGGATGTCTGTGGTGACAACGCCGTGTGCATGACGCTGGCCGATGGCACAAGCACGGAGTGCACGTGCTTGCCCGGGCACACACGCACACACCCAGACGATGTGCACTGCATCTCTGTGTTACCACTTCACCCAACGAAGGCAGCCAATGACACGGCCATCCCTACCGCACACGCCACAGCACCGGGTGCCCTCAACGCAACACACATGCCACCACCATCTTCCACAGGCACACCACCGCCCGCGTCATCATCCTCGTCACGCCAGTCGCCATCAATGCTGCTGATTGCTGGCAGCGGCGGCGGCGCTGTGCTGCTGATTGTGCTTGTTGTTGGCATTGTCCTCATTGTCCGCTCCCGCCGTCGCCGTGTGCTTGCGTCCACGTTTTCCAAGACGCCGAGCACCCGCCATGCCGCAGGGACCAGCAACGGCGATACGGCGGTGTGTGTCTGTGTGTGTCTGTGTGTCTGTGTGCGTTTGAGTGTGTCTGTATGTGTGTTGTGTGGCATTTGGTCGGAGGGAGCATGTGCAAAGAGGTGCCAGTGTTGATCGACATCGCTTCAATTACCTGTCCTTCCGCCTTGCCTCACCACCTCATTGTCCGGCGCCATGCTGCTGCAGCTGTGCGTCAACGAGCTCTTCGCAGCTACGTCAACCGCCACCACCACGGTTGCGTCGTCCCAAGCAGCGCTGCGTCTCCCTCTACAGCAGCAACAGCAACGCATCTACGCAGTGCCCAGCACCCCACCACCTGTCAGGCCGGACGCACGCCCGCGGCACTATGACATGGGCGACGACTATGACATGGGTGATGACTATGACATGGGTGATGATTATGACAACGTCAACGAGCAACAACAGCCCGCGTACGAAGAGCCCAGCGCTGCACCAAAGACACTGCCGCCAATCGGGCCACGCACACAGCAGCGGCACTACGACATGGGTGATGATGACGGCAACGAGGACGAGTACGGATGGCACACCTCGACCTCGGGTGCTGTTGGTGACGCTGCCGGGCACATGCGCACGTCCCAGGCACAGCAAGGCGCTGAGCGTATGATGCGCGATGAGTACTTTGACGTTGACATTGCATCTGATCAGGACGATGGCAGTGATGGCAATGACCAGCAAGGTGGGGCGTGTCCTACTCCCAGCAATTACCTGCAACTGCAATTACATGAGCATGGCGCGACTGCTGAGAGAACAGCGCCAGATGTGGTGGGCTACGACAATGTGCACTCGCAGGTCGAGCACCAGTACGACATGCCACACGTGCCGGCTGATACTGACGCGGACGCATATGCTGTGCGCCCAGCCTCCTACTCGCGCAAGACGCGACACCGGCAGCCATGGCAGCAACAGCAAGTGCAGCTTCGTGCGAGGGGAGCGATGCAACCAGTGCCTGCAAGACTATCGTCATCGCCGCCACCGCTTCCGCCACCACGATCGACGACGCAAGCAACAAGGGAGGCTTTGCCAACGACAGGTGCTGCGTATGACCACCCCTCTGTCACGCCAATCACATACGCAGAACCAGCGCAACTGGCCCAGCATCGCCCGCGCCCACGCAAAGACCTGCAAGGTGGGTCGTTTACCCATTTGTATGGGTGTGTCTTTGTGTGTGAGTTTGTTTCGATATGGGTGTGTTTGTGTGTGAGTTTGTTTCGATATGGGTGTGTTTGTGTGTGAGTTTGTTTCGATGAGTGTGTGTAAGAAGGTGGCGGCATAGAAGGGAGGGGTGGCAGATGGATCGAGCGGACATCATCTCACGCTCGTGCTGTTTGTATTTCGCTTCTGAAGCGAGAGGAATGCATCGCTGGGAAGCAGCGAAATACGACATTGCAATTGATGATCAACGCCCCGGTAGGAAACACTTGTCCCTGTGTTCTCTTGTGTGTGTCTGTCTGTGTGTCTGTGTGTCTGTGTCTGTGTGTCTGTGTGTGTGTGCTTGTGGGAAACAAGGAGACCGTGCTCACATTCCTTCTATTTGTTGTTGCGCTTTGAAGCGAGAGAAATGCATCGCTGGAAGGCTGCGGAGTACGACATTGCAAATGATGATCAGCGCCCTGGTAGGAAGCATGCCTCAGTGTGTGCGTTTATGTGCATGTCGCGAGTTGGGCATGTGCAATGCAGCGGATTAATGAGTGCTAGCACAACAGTTAATGCATGCTTATATGTGGGTGCAATGCTGCAGCTGGGCCTGTTGGATCGTGGATGCTGGGTGCTGCCATTGGAGATGACGACACCACAGAACAGCGACAGGATCAAGTTGTGTAGGCACGAGGAGGAGTCGATGAAGCTCTGTGTGTGTGTGTGTGTGTGTGTGTGTGTGTGTATGTGTGTGCCTGCCTGTCTGTCTGTCTGTCCGTCCGTCTGTCTGCCTGTCTGTCTGTCTGAGTGTCTGTCGACCTTTGTGTGTGCGTGCGTGTCTTCGACCTGGCTGGCCCAGGGCGGAGGCCCTCGCACTCATGCGCTCAAATGGTAGCATAGCATTACGAGTTTTATTCTTCTTGGCATGACATTGTCAGTTTGAACGCGAACAGTCGACAAGCAAAGCGATTGGAGAGCAGGAGTCGGTGTGTTGTTGCTTTCGTACTTGCCTCCCTTTCCTTTCAGCCTTTCCTTTCCTTTTTTTTTTTTTTTTTTTTGGGGGGGGTGTGTATGCTCATGTGTGTGTGTGTTGAGACATGTGTTGTTCATTGAAAAGGAAGGAAAGGGAAAAGAACCTACTAACCGAAGACCAAATCATTGAACAAAAAGGAGAGTTGAGGAAGAACGTCCTATCGTCAAAGGTGAACGCCTCTCGCCGGGAAAGGCAGAGTACCGTGCAAGTCAAGTAACTGGGCTCCTTGGGCTCGACAGGGACGAAGAGAGAGTGAAAGTAGAAAGAGAGAAAGCGCGGAAGGGAAGAGCTGAAGACATGGGGACTGGCTGGAGAAAGCTGGGAGAAGAGGGGAGCAGGAGAGAGAAGCCACAAGCAACTCAGCAACTCACTCTCAGCAAAGCAGCAAGAACCCTGGAACCAGGCAGAATAATTGTCAGTGACACTCAGGGCGCCAAGGTCGACGATTAATCGAAAACGTTCCTAACATTCGTTTGTGTGCGTGATATCTCTTGCTTCTTGCTTGCACGCAGACCAACCAGCGATCGAACAGCAAACGCAGGCAGCAGAGACCGACCACAGCAACCTCAAGACAAGACACGAAGACAAGACCTCAATCCTACTAGATCCTAGTGTCACAAGGTCACATCAATCAAGTCAATCAAGTCAGGCACACGTCACATCACTACGGCAGCACGCTTGCTCGACCGCCTTCAAACTCACCACACAACTCGGACAGAGGACTCTGTGTAGTTTCTGTTTGTGTGTGTAGTTCCGCAGTTGTGTGTCTGTGCGTGTCATGGAGGACGAACAACCACAACCGCAAAAGGACAGAGCGGAGGGGCACAGCAATGCCTCTCCCTCTCCCAGCCCTACCGTGTCCGACTCATCAAGAGATACGCTGTCAACGCAGCAGGGAACAACAACAGCAACGACGACAATGCCAGGCATTGCACACTTTCTTCAGGCTGACGCCGACTCTGAAGTGGAGCAGCCTCAGCAGCAAGAACTGCAGCCGATGCACTCTGCCGTTGAACTGGTTGAACAAGGACACCCCCACTCAACAGCCACCACCGCGACCGGAACCACGGTTTGTGCGCGAGGGCGAGTGCGACGTACCGCTTTCTCTCTCTTTCACACACACACACACGCACACGCACGCACACACACACACACACACACACACTCTCTCTCTCTCTCTCGTGCCCTCGTGTTGTGGACTGCTCCCCCTCTACCTTTGCACGGTGCAACAACAACTCCCCCCCCACAACAACACTACCTCACACTTACCTCACTACCTCTTGCTCATCACAAACATTGATGCCACTGGCCAACACAACCCAAACAGGCCGCAGCTAGCGCTGATGTCACAGCAAGCACATCACCTGGAGCCCAAGGGACCACACGGAATCCGTTTGCAGAGGAGGCACCGTTTGTGTTTGCTGGGCAGCCCCGCCACATCAGCGGGGATGTTCAGTTTGCGCAACAGTTTGCACCGAATCCTGCTTCGGCAAACCTTCCCACTGCCACGGTGAGCCGCAGCCAAAGCATGCCTGCTACAAGGCTATTGCTGCTGCAAGCACTCTTTGCCCCTTGCTTTCAGCCGTTCGCGGTGTGCTGCTGCATGGGGGTTCATGCTTGACACTGCTTTTCTCTTGCTCTCTGACCTCAAGCATGCGCGCTCGCACAACATGCGCACATCGCATGTGTCACACTTTCCAAGTGATTTACGTCCACTTCCCCCTCGCTTGCACACACACACACACACACACACACACACACACACACACACACACAAACACACTCTCACACACGCACACACGCACGCACGCACACACACACACACGCACGCACAACATACACACAAACACGCAAACACACACAGCCACCTGCTCGGGGTCCTGCGACGATGCCAGATGTGTCTGCGCCCAGCGCAACAGCATCCACCCTACGAGCATGGAATGTTGGAGGCTTTGGACAGACGGACACAGACGCGCACGTGGAGCTACAGGGCGTTCGACGCATGAATCCCACCACCACCGCCGCTCCCCGTGCCGTGGGGCTGCAAGCGTTTCGGCCGTCCACTGCTGTTGGTGGCCGGACGTACAGCAGGAACCGCCTTGTGCTGGCGGCTATCGGTGCCGTCTGCATCTTGGCACTTGTGATTGGGATCCCTGTGGGCATCACCTCATCGTCGTCATCGTCGTCATCGTCGTCCTCGTCATCCTCTTCCGAAGCAGCTCACCCCCTGGACTGCTCAAACTACCCCACGCGTCAACAGTTCCGTGACATGTCCTACAAGAAAGCGACCCACGTTCTCAGGTGCTGTTGTCCCGAATTCTACAGCTTGCGCAAGGTCAAAGGTCTCGTATCCTTGAGCGGAGCGCAGACCACGATCAAGTTTGGCTCAATACGCTCAATCGGCGGTGATGTGCGCGGCTCGGGCGGTCCTGTTCTGATCGTCGACTTTGGCAAGGTCACATCCATTGCAGGCACCCTCAATCTCAACCACAACCACCTCTCCACCATCAACTTCAAGAAAATCAAGGAGATTGGCGCATTGGACTTGAGCCACAACCAGCTGACGGCGGTGAACTTGCGCCGGGTCCGCACTGTTGCTGGTCGTGTTGACTTGAGTCACAACCAGCTGACCTTCATGGACTTTAAGCATGCGGTCACCGTACTCAGCAGTGTCGACCTGAGTCACAACCACCTTACATCCTGTGACTTTGGAAACGTTGAGTCCATTGGCGGCGAGATTGATTTGCGAGACAATGCCTTCCAAACACTCGAGACCCTCCAATTTCGAAGCTTGACAACCATCAGAGGGCTGGTGCTCAGCGCGAACCGGCTGACGTCTGTGAACATTGAAGGCCCAACGACCATGTTTGGCACGTTGACACTCAGCTACAACCAGCTTTCGACCCTTGACGTTCGTGGAACCGTCACAACCGTGGCGGGTGGTGTGCTTCTCGACCACAATGACCTCCACAGCCTCAAGTTTTCCTCGATCATTCGCATTGGCGGGGTGCTAGACTTGACCGGCAACAACCAGCTGACCACACTGGATGTTGGAAGCGTTTCATCCATAGGTGGCCAAATTGCCCTGGGCACCACCCCGCACTTGGCAGTCGTAAACCTGGGAAGCCTTACGCTGCTGGCGTCGTCGCTGACAGTTCGTGGCAGCCTGACGCAGTTTGACATTGGCGATGTGACCTCCGTTGCTGGGCAGATTGATCTGCGTGGCAATCATCTGACCTCCCTTGATTTGAGTGGCCTGAAGGTGGTCGCCACTTACTTATCCCTGCAGAACAACCGATTGTCGTTCCTGAATTTGGGCAGCATCGAGCACATTGGCAGAGGCGTCTATGTTCGGGGAAATCCCCTGTCTGTCATCCACTTTGATGCGGGTACAACGTTGAGGTCGGATCTCACGCTCGGGTACAGCCACAACCACCCGTCATTTGGGATACGTGGTCTGACCACTGTTTCCGGCAGTTTGAAACTACTTGGGGATCATCTCGTGCGATTTGACTTTGGCGACCTGCACACTGTTTCAGGAAACATAGATCTGCGCCGCAACAACTTCACGGAAATAGCGCTGAGCAACGTCGCGTCTGTCGGCGGCGACATCAAGCTTCAGAGCAGCGACAGGTTGACCAGCATCGACCTTGCTGGCTTGAGGGAGCTGGGTGGTGCCATTGCTTTCGGCGAACTGCCAAAGCTGCAAGTGCTGCGCATGGGCAGATTAACGACGCTCCCACAGAACCTCAGGGTTGTCAATGCGCAGCTCACGCACGTTGATTTTGGTGAGCTGACGAGGGTGGAAGGTCATGTCCTCTTGTACGGCAACAAGCTGACGGCGCTTGAGTATGGGCGGCTGGAGGTGATCACCGGCAATCTGGATGTGCGGGATAACCCGCTGACCTCTTTCAACAGCGATGAGTGGAACATGATTGTTCAAGGGCAAGTGTTCATGTGATGTTGGTGCGCGTGTTGCGTTTGCACGCTGTGTGTGAGTGCGTGTGCGCGTGCGTGTGGTGTTGTGTAGTTGATACAAAGTCTGCTGATTTGTTTGCGCTGGTGGTTGTTACTCCCCCGCCCTTCTCTGTTGTTTCCATTTGGGCGACGTTATGTTCCTTTATGCAGCACCGATCGAACATGGCGTTTCAGTTCAGCACCTGTCTGTCTGCTGTTTGTGCGCGTGCTTCCGTGCTCGTCCATCTCTATTGTTGTGTTGTTTGCCCCTGCGCACAATCGTGAAACACGTGTGCATTCTACACCCCGCCAAGTCCCTAAGGCAACTGCTTTGCTGTGTACACAAACAGCCTTGCACTCTACTACTCTTGCTTTGCTTGCAAGAAGTGTCCTTGCTCCTCTTGTCTCTTTGTCTGTCTGCTCTGCTCTGCTCCTCTGTTCCTCTCTGCTCATGCAACCTGTGCAACCTGTCGAACCTGTGCAACGTTCAGCGAGTCAACGGCTCTTCTTTCCGTCTAGCACAAACAAAGCACTGGTGATAAGTGATACAAGATTTACCACAATTTTCCCCAACCACGCCAACCCGCCTCGCTCGTTGTCTTGAAGGTGGACGTGCGTGTGTTTGGATTCTTTGCTTCTTGTTGTTGTTGTTGTTGCTGTTGTTGTTCTTGTCGTACTTATCTTCGTTCCCTTGGTGTGCGGCGCAATGGATGAGAAGACGCTGCGTCGCTTTCGCGAGCACCATCAGTCAAAGTTCGCCCAGCACACCTCACGCATCCAGCTACAGGTGTGATGTGTGCGTGTGCGCGTGCATGTGTGCGCGTGCATGTGTGTGGTGTTGTGTGTGTGTGTGCAGGTGTGTGTGTGTGCAGGTGTGTGTGTGTTGTGTGCGCATGCGTTCTCTCTCTCTCTGTCTCTCTGTCTCTCTCTCTCTTCTCTCTCTCTCTCTCTCTCTCTCTCTCTCTCTCTCTCTCTCTCTCTCTCTCTCTCTCTCTCTCTCTCTCTCTCTCTCTCTCTCTCTCTCTCTCTCTCTCCCTCTGTGTGTGTGCTTGATTTTGTTGCCCGAGTGGTCACTGTGTGTGGCCGGCTTCGCTTGCCTCATCTTGCCTTGTGCTATGTCACTTTGCCTTGCCTTGCCTTGCTCACGCACAGCACCGTCGAGAACAAGAGACGTTCGAACTGCTGAGGAAACGCGTCCACGACCCTCTTCAACAGGTAGCACGTGTGCTCCGTACACATGGTGCCTGCTGTTACATGAAGACGATGCGCCACACCACCACGGCCACTCTCATCATCTCGCCAAGAATACCCCTCCCCAACCCCAACTCCCAAAACACACACTGACGACATTGCTCGCTACGCTTGTGCAGCAGGATGCAGTGTCCACATGGCGGCGAGACTCCACCAGTGGATCGGTGAGATCACAGCACACACACACACACACACAGAGCTGTGTCTCGTTGACTGTCCCCCTCACCAACATGCCTCTCGTCCGTTTGTCAGCAGACTGGCAAGCGGCGTGCGAGTCAGACCACGACCGGACGGCGCGGTGCCGGCAGCACCAGCAGCATGGACGCGTCCCCAGCGTCCCTTGCATGGGACGCTGGATCTGCACAGTCGACCAAGCGCGCTGCACTCGGTGATGGCGGTGGTGCCGGTGGCAGGGGCTCGTCATCATCGGCATTGGCTGCAAATGCGGCCGGTGGTGCGACAAAGTCGCGAAAGAAGAGACAGCCAGCCACCAAGAGGGCAGCCGGTGGGCGTGCTCGAGGTGATCGTGGCCGAGGGAGGGGTGCACGTGCAAACCGCAGCAGCACCAGCGCTGGCGGTGCCGATGACGGGCTCCATGGGCTTGGATCGCTGCCCGCGCACGCCCAACCCTCGGACGCCGCCGCAGGCGTGTCATCATCATCGTGCGTCTGAGTCAATGTGTGTGTGTGGGTGGGGGGGGGTTCTGTCTGCGTCTGTGACTGTGGCTCTCTGTCTCTGTCTGTCTCCCTCTCTCCCTCTATCCCTCTCTGTCTGTCTGTCTGTCTGTCTGTCTGTCTGTCTGTCTGTCTGTCTGTCTGTCTCTCTCTCTGTCTCTCTCCACCCCCTGTCTCCTCGTGTCTGTGTACACGTGTGCTTTCGTCATGCACCCAATGCCGCTCCATACCTCAGTCCTGCACTGTCTCACAATCTGTCCGCCACAACCCACTTTCTCTCTCCTGACAACCTTGCTCTCCCCATTCTCCTCTTTGTCTCCCGCTGTAGTCTGCTGGGCCTTGATGTGCCAACCACAATGGGCGACATGGACCTGAATTCCCTCATCACCTCCGCCCTCACCTCCGACTCTGCAGGGTGAGTCGCAGAGATCTTGCAAACCAACAAGTCGTCTCTAAGTTGTGGCGGATGGCGTGTACACGTGTTATTGGAATCTGCCGTGACCGTGTCCACATGTTCAGCGGGTTGTTCCCACAGACCAACCTACTTTTGTTCAATCTCCTCTACACCGTTTGTGGCTGTGCTTGTGGTATCAGATATGGAGACCTGCTGGATCGCTTCGATCCCCACCCTGCCTCAACGCAAGCGTATGTCGCCCAATGCACACACACACACACACACACACACACACGTGCACGTCTTGCTTCATGCAATCTCTCGTGCCACTTTTATTCGTCCAGCGCCATGCATTCATTCACGCGCGTGCGTGCGTGCGTGTGTGTGTGTGTGTGTGTGTGTGTGTGTGTGTGTGTGTGTGTGTGTGTGTGTGTGTGTGTGTGTGTGTGTGTGCGTGTGTGTGTGTGCGTGTGTGTGTGTGCGTGTGTGTGTGTCATTTTTTCATGATCACAGGTCTCTCAACGACATGCTGTCGGGTGCTGCTGACCCTTTCTCCCGTGAGTGATGTGAAGTCTGTTGCTTTTCCGTTGTGAGCTGATGACATCCCTTGCTGTGTACCGTATGTTGTGGACATCATGCACACACACTCACCCACACACCCACACCCACACACACACACACACACACACACACACACACACACACACACACACACACACACACACACACACACACACACACACACTTTCTCTCCACTTTGGCAGTCGACAACGTGCTTGGACCAGACCCACTTCTTCCCCACAAGTGAGAGCGCACGTGAAGCCTGCAGCTCAATTCATTCCCCACTCCTTCTCTCTCTGTCTATCTCTCTCTCACACACACGCACAGACACACACACACACACTCTCTCTCTTTCTCTCTCTCTCTCTCACTCACTCACCCTCTTTCACACGCACACAAACATACATTCACACACACACACACACACACTGTGCCCATGCTACAACCTTGCTTGCCGCGTCTCGTGCCCACCTCTTGCTTCTGCTGTTGTGCTCATCACCCATGCACCTCCTCCTCTCCTTTCAGCGACGATCCATTGTCGGGCGTGCATTCAACGACAGCAGATGACTTTGCGCACCACCAGCACCACCAGCATCACCACCGGGACACGCAAAAGGAGGAGCAAGCACTTGAAGACGCCTTTCAACAAGCGACACCCCACCATCACCAACATCACGAACACCAACAGCAATACCAACACCAACACCAACACCAACACCAACAGCAGTCCGTCTTCTCACATGCCAGTGCAACGCTTCCGTTTTCCATTGCACCGTCCACCCTTGCGGGTACGCCCACCCCATCGTTTCAACACCAGCACCAGCACCAGCGGCAGCGTCATCTCTCATCCAGCTCCCAAGCACACCAACAACCGCAACACCAACACCCACATCCATCGCAGCACCAGCAACCACATGAACCGCAACGACAGCACCACCACCACCACCAGCAGCAGCAGCAGCAGCAGGCGGGGATGAGGGGACCTGACGTGCTGTCAGCGCTGCTTGGAGACGCCATCACCTCATCGCTTCACAGCAGCAGGCAGCACAGCCGCTTACCCTCAACAGCAGCAACACCAACAACAACAGTAACAGCAGCAGCAACAACAACAGCAGCAGCTGTAACAACAGCAGCAAACATCGCCACTTCCAGCTCCTCCTCAAGGGCTGCGGATGCGTTTCTTGAGCAGATGATGGGCGGTGACGGGCAGAGCAATGCGCTGCAGCAGCTGCTTTCGGGTATGCTCTCTCAACAGCAACAACAACAGCAGCAGCCACGCGCACAAGGGCAGCAGCAGCAGCAAGCGCAACAACAGACACGTCAGCAGCCGCTGCAAGGTCTGCAGTGGCAACAACCACAGGCACCATCCCCATCTGCACCACAACTGCAGCCACACCAATACCAACAACAGCAACAGCAACAGCCACGCCAGCAGCACCAACACCAGCAGCCCCGAACAGATGCTGCGCCGTCCACACCGGGACTGAGCGGGCTGTTGCCATCAGCAATCCTACAAATCATACAGCAGCAGCAGCAGCAACAACAACAACCACAACAACCACAACAACAACAACAACCACAGCAACAGCCAATGCAGCAACAGCCAATGCAGCAACAGTTGCTTCAAGCACTACTGTCATCGTCGGGCCAGCAACCCGTCAATCCACCAGACCAACAGCACCAACAACAGCAACAGCCCCTGCCACAGCACCAGCGACGAGGTCAGCCGATGCAGTCGCAGCAACCAATGCAGCCACATTTCTCCCAGTCGTCTCGCTCTTCGCTTCCGCAGCCGTCATCGGGTCAAGATTACCTCATGCATATTTTGCAGCAGCAGCAGCAACAGCAACAATTGCTCCTGCAACGCACGCAGCAGCACCAACAGCAGCAGCACCAACAGCAGCAGCAGCAGCAGCACAGGCGGCCCTGAGCAAAGTTTCACGTGTGTGCATTGTGTCTCTCCCCCGCCCCTTCAACTTTGTGACTGGCAGTTGACCTGCAACCTGAATGTGTGGTTGGTGGCACGATATGAGTATGCTTCATGCATCCTCCTCTTCTTTGATATGTGTATGCGAATGTATGCGAGTGTATTTGAATGTTTGCACAATTCTAGTGCGAGGTGTGCATTTGAGCACACCACCTGCAGTAACGAGTGTGTGATCCTGAGCGTTTGTTTTCATTGACTTCATATGTGCGTGTTTTTGCAACTGATAAACCCCGTGAGCAGCACGAGGAGCACACGAGCGCACGTTTTATTGTCACCTGAAAAGCGCAAGATCACACACATGTGCATGTGCTTTAAGACACCAAAGGAAGGTACCACACGCACACGCATACGCACAAACACACACACAACAGTTGGAAGAACAAGAGCACACACACGCACAAACACTAACACAAACACACGTACACACACGTATAACCCAACACACAACACCTAAAAGACACCATGGTCAGGCCATGGCAACTTGCTTGCTGGCACATGTTGATGATGATGTTTTGCGTTCTGGAAAAACAAACGCACACACTCGCCCACACCAGCACACCTTCGCACACGTGCACTGGCATGGGCGTGTTGTGGTGGGGTGAAGGAGACCGGTGGTGGTGTGATCTGGACATCTAGTCCACCTTGATCACAGCATAGATGCGGCGAACGAAGTAGAAGCAGCCGACAAAGCCAAAGGTGCCTGATCACAGGAGGAAAGGTGTCACAAGAAACGACGTGGCAGGTATGGGGTGGTGGCGAGGTGAGGTTGCAAGCGGGCGTATGAACAAAGGCAGGCAGAGGGGAGAACATCACACGAGGAGATACTCCGCCAACACACACACACACACACACACACACACACACACCTGTCATGAGGAAGAAGAGGAAGGAGGCAATGGTTGAGTATCCAAGATACAGGAACAGGTTCGCTTTGCCATCCACCTCCATTTGCCTGCAGTGTTGGTGTGGCGGAGTAAAAGTGTGAGTGAGTGTGTGAGTGTGTGAGTGAGTGAGTGAGTGAGTGAGTGAGTGAGTGAGTGAGTGAGTGAGTGAGTGAGGGAGTGAGTGTATCTACGCGCGTCCCGACACTCAAACAACACGGTGTATTGTCGGCAATCCGGGTTCTTGTAAAATACACAGAAGCCACCACCAGAAAAACAGCACAACAACCAAGTTCACTCCCCCCCCCCGCCACGACAACAATAACAACCATCATGCCGAACCTGAAGTAGAAGATGATTTCGTAGATGAGGAGATAGATGGCAGAGGCGCCGCCCGTGAGGAACGCGCGCCACCACCAGTGGTAGTTCTGGTCGCACGCGCCCAATAGCAGACAGCGGGGCGAGGGTGGGGGTACAGGTCGTTGGCGTGGTCGTGATGATCAAGGTAGTCGAATGAGAGACGCGTGGGGCGAGTCACGGCAGGAAGTGTGGCAGTGTGAGCGATAGCAGACGAACAAATCAAAACTCCTCTCTCCCAAAGCAAAGCGCACAAACAGCACAAGTCAAGCCACCATCACCATGAAAGCATAGCAGCATTAGCACAGCATGAACAAGGGCTGTACCTCGCTACAGAGGTGGAAGTAGCAGAGAAGGATGGTGGACTCGATGGTGGTGACAACGAGGATGAGGAATACCAGGAACAGGAAGCCAAACACGTAGTACAGCTTGTGGCCCCTGCGATTTCGAGCGCATGGCGCATTTCCCAGTGAGGTTGAGTGGGGTGCAACGTATCGCACGTGTATGGCGACGCATGAATGCCACACCTGCATCACGGAGGCACGGCTTGTGGCCATCACGCACACGCACACGTGCACACACACATACACACACACACACACACACACACACACACAAAGACACACACGCACAAAGACACACACGCACACACACGCACCAGATGCTTGTGAGGATGAAGAAGAGCTGGATAAAGATGCAGCCAAAGGGGAGGATGCCGCCCATGAGGATGGCCGGCAGCGTGCGTGTGTACAGCGGCTGCGGCGGAATCTGCCGCGGAATGTGATTCTTGCGCACAGGCTGCCATACAAACGTGCAGCACGTTGTGAGTGTGTGAGTGTGTGTGTGTGTGTGTGTGAATGTGAGTACGTGTGCATGTGTGGGTGAGTGTGGGTGCGTTAGACGGTGAGGTGTTGACAAGGTGCACGTGCATGTTTGTGTGAGTGACATTCAGCAGCTGCAGCCGTGTGGACATACTCTGCGGCACCGCGGCCCCAGTCAACTCACGTGCTCCAGGGTGGCCTTCTTGTACCCAAAGTATGCACCAACGAACGTCTGTCAAGGGAAAAGGCCGGGGGTGGGGGGTGGGGCAGAGCAGGAAACATTGAATGATGGATGCCTGACCACAATGAAACAGAGCCAGGTGATGACGCATCACACACACACACACACACACACACACACGCATCACACACACACACACACACACACACACACACACACACACACACACACACACACACACACACACACACACACACACACACACGCATAAAACCACGCAAGAGCCATGGCGCAGGGCAACGCACGAGGGGCACGGAGATGAAGAACCAGAGGACGGCGAGGACGACGAGCGTTCCAAACGGAAGCGCCGCAGAGGAGTGCTCCGCCCACAGCAGCTGGTGGTGGTTGGTCGTGATGGTGGGTGGTGTGGTGATTCAGGTGTCAGGGATGGCAGCAAATCGCGGTGGATGTGGTGAGCACAGCGGGCACGATACGAAGGGGACGCTGACAGGCGGCAAGGTAACAATGACGACATCTAAAGCGACCAATGGACACGCCATCCACAGCAGAGACGTACGAGGTTGAGGATGAAGAAGAGACCGAACACGACGCCAGGTACAAACGTCGCCGTCATAATCGTGTTTGTCTTCCACTTCTCTCCGCCAAACATCTGGTGACAGGGTGATGATGTTGATGGGCAGGGAATTGAGAGTATGATGTGGTGTGTGTGTTTGGGAGGGAGGGGGGAGGGATTTGAGAGGCGCAGATCGTGATCGGAGCATGTGGCTGTCTCTCGCGAATACTCATCCACACATGGAACACAGAATAACATAAACACACAAACACACACACGCACAAAAAAAAAACAACACACGCACATACACACACAAAAAAACACACACACACACACACACAACCACATGCACGTGCTAGACATCTGACCTTGTACATGCGGGCAGAGACGTAGCCAGAAGGGGTGCCGAGGCAAACCCACAGCGTCACCATCGCCGTCATCAGACCACCGCGTGTTGCTGTTGGAGAGAGGGCAAGGGGAGAGGGAGGGGAGAAGGGGGTGGTGGCGGTGTGAGCGGTGGTGGAGCAGCGAATAAATATTGCAGGCAGACACGCACACACGTACACACATGTTCAGCAACGTACAAAGCACATACACAAACAAAACAAAACAAAACAAAACAAACCAAACCAAACCAAACCAAACCAAACCAAACGAGCACGCGCGCACACACACACACACACACACATACACACACACAAACCTGGAGAAAGGAAGCCAAGGCAGGCGAAGAAGAGGGTGATGACGACCATGCAGGTGAACTGGACCCCGGATCCGACGAGCACGGAGAGCATGAGCGGGTTGGTTGGCGTGCGGAACACATCGCCGTGGATGAGCTTCCACCCAAATTCCTCCTGCGCATCCTCCCGATCCTCAGCCTGGTGGTGGTGGTGGCGGCCGTAGTTGTGAGTGTGGGACGAAAGAAGCAATCAAGGCTGTGCTTACGTGCAAACACACACACACGAACAACCACGCACGCACACACACACACACACACACACACAACCACGCGCATAAAGACACACACACACACGAACAACCACGCACATAAGACACACACCTGCACACACACACACACACACGAACAACCACGCACATAAAGACACACACCTGCACACACACAGACACAGACAGACAGACAGACAGACACACACACACGTGTATGCGCATATTCAGCAACCCATGCAGCGGGGTGCATCTCCCCTCTGCCCCTCCCCGATACCACCCAGCAGCGGACCTGGTTGTAGCGGGCAATGTCCTTGTAGAGGGTGCGGACAAGGATGATGCCAAGCATGCCGGAGAGGAACAGCACAATCACCAGCGAGTTGATGATGGAGAACCACTGGATGCTCACGCCCTCAGCCGAGCGAAGATACGTGTCCCACCGCGACGCCCACTTGATGTCTGGCGGCAACCCGTGGTGCAGGTTTGTTTGGAGGGCGATGGAGATGCACGGTGAGGGGGATGCATTTGTGGTGGAGGCGCTCAAGTAGGCGTCAGCTTCGCGCAATGGTATGGCAAGTCAAGGAATTTCTCACCAGTGTGCATGCACGCACAGAGACATCACGTCACAACCACACACACACACACAACACACAAATGCACATGCGTCATCTTCGTGGCATCATGCACACGAAACGAGACACACACACCCTTACACAGACACACACACACACACCGCCAAAGCGTGCTCACCGCTCTCCTCAAAGTAGACGCCATATGTGAAGATTAAGTCGAGCGTCTCCTCCTCTGTGGCGTCCTTCGTTGGCATCTTCAGCTTGAAGGGCTGCGGGGGGCGGTTCGGGCTGCAGTCCAGCGCATCGGGCGATTCGTGGCGGATGGACCGCGGCTGCACCTCGACGCCAACCACGCGCGCACCCTGAAAAGGGGGTGGGGGTGGGGGTTGATTGTTTGGGGTGTGTTGTGGCGCGGGGTGGTGTGTGTGTGTGTGTGTGAGGGGGGGGGGGGTGTGGGGTGTGGTGCGGAGAAGAGGTCAGGGATGGGGCCTGGAGTTACGACGAAACGCTACACACATACACACACAGACACACACAGACAGACAGACAGACAGACAGACACACGCGCGCAACCGCCCACCTCAAACTCTGGGGACTCGTGGTAGCGGATGATGATGTCGACGTGGTTGTTGATGAACATCTCATTCTGGTACATGTTGTTGATGTTGCGAAGGGTGCATGCCGTGAGCGACTTCTCAGCGGCACCAATGGCGCAGCCGACGGGGAAGCCAAGGCGGTAGTACGGCTGGTCCTCGGGCCGGATCCCGCCCCTGGTTGTGGTGGTGGTGGTGGCGATGGTGAGGAAGGTAGATATGGTGGTGGTGGTGGTGGTGGCGGTGGTGAGGAAGGTTAAAGTGGCGAGGAAGACTGACAGGAGTGGATGACAATCGGTGTGCATCATGGTGCCACACGCATCACACCCATCGAAAACGCTGTATCTCAACAGGAACGCACTTGCAGTTTGATGTGCACTCCACAATGGGGAGGTTGTCCAGGATCCTGCAAACCAAACGCATTTCGAAGCGTGAACGACGATCATACATTATAAAACAGACAGCAGCCGCAAGCATCACACACACGCACACAAGTATGTGCACACACACACACACAAGTATGTACACACCCACCCACACGCACACACACACACACACACACACACACACACACACACACAAGTATGTACACACCCACCCACACGCACCCACACCCGTCATCATCATCATCACCAACCCCACGTCCACCACCATCATCACTCACCAGTGGTGCATGTAGTCCTTGCGGATAGCCATGACAATCTTGTTGTACTTGGAAATGTCCTTCTTGTTCGTGTTCTTGTACGTGCGCCTGCACAGCGGCTCGCACGTCTTGCTCCGTTGCATCTCAATCTGAAGAGAGGAGCAAGTATGATCGTAGTATGACTGAGTGATACCCGCTTCACACAGTGCGACAAAAGCCCATCCGTCCACACACACACACACACACACACACACACACACACACACACACACACACACACACACACACACACACACACACACACACACACACACACACACACACACCTCTGCAGGATGGGCGGGTATGCCACGCGCATGTTCGTGTATGAGGTGACAGAGGCGGATCTGGAGATGAGCCAGGTGCTGCGCGTGGACGTGATCGCCAGCGGGCCCGTTGTCCTGTACGCGCGCCACAAGCAGCAGCCATCGTACACCTCAAGCAAGTCCGTGCACGGCAAGTGCATTGGCAACCACATGCACCGGCTGTGTATTGGTCTTGATGGCGAGCGCGGATCGGCACTCAAGCCGGGGCCATGGTACATTGTAGTCGCCAGCAACACCCTGTTCAAGTGGGTGGAGGTGAAGGTGGCAGCGTCACTCCACACGCGCGACGACGCGGACGAACCGAACGTGGCGCTGCTTGGCCGTCTCTCCCTCTCCCAATCCAACGAGGGTGCACAGGGTGGCGAGGGTGCACAGGGTGGCGACAACAGCGATGACAGTAAAGACAGGAAGACGGATAAGATGCAACCACAGCAACAGCAGCAGTGGAAGCCGGAGGCACGGGTGGTTGCACGCACATCTGAATCAGCAACAACAGCGGGTATGACAGCCGCCACGCGTGCACCGTGTCCCGACTACGCACATGCGTGCAACCCACAGGACGATGAGAAGCGTGCAGGTGTTGCCCCTGACGGCGATGGCGACGACTGGGAAGTCGTTGATGTGGAGGTGCCCGCGCACGTCCCGAAACCGCACACACTCGCACGGTCCCGAGGAGGTGAGAGAAGCTCTGTGTGTATGTGTGTGTGTCGGTGTGTGTGTGTGTGTGTATCTGTGTCTGTGTCGGTGTGTGTGTGTGTCGGTGTGTGTGTGTGTGTGTGTGTGTGTGTGTGTGCATTTCGACTGTCTGAAACATCTGATGTACGTTGACTGGACCTTGTTGCGTTCATCTGTCATAACGTCGCAGTGTTCTGAACGCCACCGAAACCTCCTGCCCCCTTTCCCTCACCACCAATCCCCCCCCATCACCTCAGGCACGCTGTCTCGTGTTGGCGACAGCGACTTGATTGAGGACGAGCTGGACCGCCTTGTCGACGAAACGCTGTCGTGCACAACACACGCGGCACTGACTGCACTGCATCCCCGCTTCCGCGCGCTCATCGCCAGCGCCCACTTGAAGGACGACGCCAAGCTGTTTCTCGAGTCGTTCTGGCAGCACCACAGCACACGCCTGGCACCGCCAGCGACACCCAACGGTGTGTGTGTGTCTGTGTGTGTGTCTGTGTGTCTGTGTGTGTGTCTGTGTGTCTGTGCGTCTGTGTGTGTGTGTGTGTGTGTCTGTGCGTCTGTGTGTCCATCTGTGTGCCTGAATGTCCGTGTGTGTGTGTGTGTCTGTGTGCTTTCACCGCTGTGCATTTCCTCTCACATCTTTGCTGTGCTCACGGATCACGTCACGATCGCCTTGCTGTGTTGCAGAGGCGCCGCCAGCATATGCGGCGGACGACGATGAGGGCGATGGCCACGATCTCCCAGCGTACACGCCACACACGGCGCACGCAACCGCACCGCCACTCCACCAGTAGCACCAGCCTTTGCTCTGTTCATTGTGTGCGTGTGTGTGCGTGCGTGTGTGTGTGTGTGTGTGTGTGTGTGTGTGTGTGTGTGTGCGACTTGCATGCACTTTTCTATTGTCGTTGCCTCATCACTGATGGGTCAAACGTGCACTTCTCTGTTGTGCGGGCGTGTCATTTTCATTGTGGAGATGGAAATCAAGTTGGCGAAGTGTGAAAGTAACATGTAACAGCATTTTTGAGTAAACGCAGTCCAAGACACGAAAGCGAAACAGCAAGGCGTAACAGGAAAGGAAAAGCAAAGAGGAGGTGATGGTGAAGAAACGTCATCTCGTCATCATCATTTGTGTCCACTGTAACCGACGACAACACAAACGAGTTCAGCCTTGCCAGACGCCGGCGTTGACACGAGCCGTCAGACATCACGCGTACCCCAACTCCCATGTCTCCATCCAGGGCTGCACTACTTGATCAGGACGGGTGTTCCTTCGAAATAGCGGTTGGCGCGGCCGCCGCCCTGCGCAGACCCGTTCTTCCGCCGGTGCTCCGCCTCGTACGCGTAATACCGATCACGCACCCGTGGGCCTGGCATTGGGGATGCGTGTGTGTGTGTGTGTGTGTGTGTGTGTGTGTGTGTGTGTGTGTGTGTGTGTGTGTGTGTGTGTGTGTGTGAGTGAGTGAGTGAGAGAGTGTGTGTGCGCGCGCGCGCGTGTGTGTGCGTGTGTTTGCATTGAGCTAAGGAGAGCGACATACACGCACATACACACACATCAAGGAAGTTCAACACATGATAAATGGCGAGACAGCTGCAGCACTGGCTCTGGCATCAACACATCATTGCGCGCACCTTCCAGTCGAGGGCGTCAGCATCAACTTTCTCTGCTGGTGCGAGCCCGGCATCAAGTGTCGCATCGCTGGCATTGAGACCAAGCCATCCACGCTTGTTGCACCTGATGAGTTGGTCAGGGGGGAGGCAGGAGGGAAGGATGGGTGATGGACCATACGGAGAAGAGTGCCAAGTAGTTCTGAGAGGAATGACTATCGCACACAAACACATGCACACACTTTGGAGCAATGGATGGTGCGCCGTTTGACTCGTCGGACGAGTCGACAGCGATCATGCACACGCACACTTCCTCATCACGCATCAGCCGCGTGCGCTGGAGTGACGCGCCATCTGCACAGTGGCGATGGAGGTGGTGAAGAGGCGGTGAGTTGGAAAGTGTGGAGTGGGTGTGGAATGAAGAGGCACGTGCGCAAATAAAGACACGAGCGCACGAGCACAGTACCCCACAATACGGCCACAACGAGTCATTCATTTAACAACGGACGAACCGCGCAACAACAAAGGGCACAGCGTCGGATGAACACGTGAAGAGCACGACAGCATCGGCACTGCGCACATCAGCCCGGCCCGCACCAAACTTTGCGCGCTTGTGCTGGTCAGTCTTCTTGTAGTCGTCCTCGGTGACGCCATCAGGAAGAATCTGCCAGTACCCGTCCTGGTGGGCCATATATCCGCCCGCGCCAGCCAGCTTGTAGTTGATCTTGTCCTTCAGCAGCTCCTGTTGCAGGGACGACGGGTTGATGTGATGATGATGATGATGATGATGATGATGATGATGATGATGATGATGATGATGATGATGATGATGATGATGATGATGATGATGATGATGATGATGATGATGATGATGATGATGATGATGATGATGATGATGATGATGATGACGATGATGATGATGACGTGGCTTGCATGCATGAACACGCTGCGAGGAAACGCTCCCCATGATGATGGAATTAAACAGTCCTCACATCACTCACACCTACTCAATCGTCAGGAGAAACGCAAGGGTGTCGCAGACGCAGCCAACAACATCTACAAGCACGCGCACACACACACGCACACACGTGTACGTGCACGCGAGCGCACCTGTTGCCTGCCGCCCCTGAGTGCTTCACATATGGCCTTGAGCCGCCCGTTGCGGAGAAACGCGCCCATGCGGTGCGTGTCGTTGCAGTCGACAAAGCACTCCGTGCGCGAGAGCACGCGCTCCCCACCCGACGTGAGCTCAAAGGTGTGAAACGGACCCAGGTCACACGCACGCGCATCCATGTTGGCAATTTCCTGCGCGTATGCCGGTAGGAGGGACCGCTCTGCTTCCGTCATCCATTTGCGAATGACCACATATCCTAAATAAAGAAGAGGGATGGGATGTGTGTGAGTGTGTGTGTGTGTGTGTGTGTGTGTGTGTGTGTGTGTGTGTGTGTGTGTG